TTTTCTAAGATTTTTCAATAGTGCCCAAAAGTGTCCCGTCAGAGACGTCCCGTCAGAGACAGTGACTTTTTACACTTAACAGCCCATGCTGCCAAGGAAAGTAAACAAAACTGGCCTGTTTGTGCATTAATTGCTTCCCAAGACTTGTACCTTGCAATATGAATCACAAAAGTCTTGATTAAATGAAATTTCAAAGAGAATTTTGCATTGGAGTTTTAGTAAAAAAATACAGGGGTCAAAAATGTCCCGTCAGAGACAGACCTTTAAGTGATTGTCATTCCCACATTAATTTCAATACAAATTAGCTGCTTGTTTTACATAATCCTTTATGGTCCAGCTAAATAAAAATGTATTTAAAAGTAACCATGTGGATCGTTTACCAACTGTAATTTTTAAAATTGTCTCTAAAATGTCCCGTCAGAGACATTTCAAATACCGTGTTTTGACCCAGTAGCAGGCTCTGACCATTGCAGTATATGAGGCATCAAACTGGAGGGTTAGAAGTGAAAGGAAATATTCTATCAAAATGTTTTGGGAGTGATAGCAGTATGAGAAATGTCATGACAAAAATAGTCATTTTATGTTAAACCTTTTGTCTAGTTCAGTATTTGAATTTTTGGGTTTCCAGGCATTTGCCAACATGACCCTGGCCACCAGGCGAAGCCTGTGTTCTGTCATGGTGTTTGCTGTCGTGGAGAAAGCGGGCACGATCGTGATGCATGACGCGGAGGAGCTGGACTCCTGGTCGGTTATCATCAATGGTCAAGTGGAGATCACGCTGCCGGACGACACGGTGGAACAGCTACAGATGGGAGACAGGTCAGTTTTATTATATTACGTGTGAAGACTTCAAAAGATGAGAAATCTCACTCTATGAATCATCAGCACACAAACCCATTGCTTGTCATCTTTGTGAAAATTTGTCATTGATTTCAGACTGGATATGTCAATTATGACGTAACCATGGAAAAACCAATTAAACAATTGGACTTACTTTTAGGGTAATGATTAATTTGTCTTTCAAGACTTAGGGCCTTTGACATGTAGGGAATTTTTATATAAGTAAGAGAAGTAGGAAATTTAGCAGGGGAAAATTCATGTAAAAAGTGAAGGGACATAAATATTAGGCTCTTGATTATAAAGGCTAGAATAATCCATAGCATAAGGGAAGAGAATGAGGTGGGTGCATTTTTCTTAGATTTTTTCTTAAAGGAAAATTTGCTGAGGTAGTATATAAGTTGTTAGTTAAAGTATTTATGCACCTTCAGGTTTATGGGCCAATTGAGTGGAACAATCTCCCTATTTGTTTAATAGAGTCTGAGGACAATTTTAAAAAAGAATTAAAAACTTATATCTTCAAAAAGTTTTACAATTGATTTGACTGGCTGTTGTCTTTTACGCTGTACAGTTTATTTTTGATATCTTATCAATTTAATTACATTTTAGTTCACATTTTTAGTTCATATCTTATTATTTTAACTACCTTTTCATTTATTTTTGTCATCTGATTCTGTTCATTTTACCCATGTAAAGTCTACTGAACATTTTATATATGGATTTTAGACTATAAATAAATATAATTATTATATTATTATTATTATTACCTATTACCATGTTGACTGTATCCCTCCCCATAGTAGATGAAATGACTACAGGAGGATTGAATCAGGGCTAAAAAGATGTTTTTTAAAGGCTAAGGGCATAATGTAAACTGCATTGAGATGTGTGGTATGCAAAATGGTTTAAGAACCAGGATAACTTTTTCCTTTCTTTCAGTTTTGGTATCACACCTACAATGGAGAAGCTGTACCATAAAGGCGTCATGCGCACCACACAAGATGACTGCCAGTTTGTTTGTATAGCACAGTCAGATTACTATAGAATACTGCATCAGGTAAGACTCCTACTCCTCTTCTGTTAGATTATGATTGTGGTAATTTAACAGATTTTCATTTTCATGAGAATTTTTATTTCACAATCTTTAAGTCATTAAAAATGATTGAATGATCTCTATCAAAGAAAACATTAGTAAATAAATAAAAATTGATTACTATCTGCTGAGGTGTACTTTAATTGGTACAGACGTAATTTTTTATTAACTCTTCAAATTGATCATGCAACCATTTTTGATCAACATATAATGGAGGACAGATATATTCACAGATAAGTAAAAGTTATTGTTTGCTTTTTAGGGTGAAGAGAATACACACAAGTTTGAAGAGAAGGGGCAGGTGGTGATGGTCACTGAAGATAGAGTCTTAGACGCTGGCAACAGGAAAGGGTCCATTGTCATAAGGGTTAGTGGAGAAATTTGGTGTAGATTTGAGAGTGCTGTACTTTTGTAATAATTTAGCCTTTTTGAAATTTATGGATTTTTGAAATTTATGGAAAGTGTTGGAAATAGAATAAGGGGTTCTATGATAAGATCGATATAATTGCATTATTGACTTTTTCTTTAGATTTTTCGTCTGATATTTTATGAAGTGAAGAAATATCCAAGACCAGAATTTTTATTTTTGGATAAAAGCTACCTTTAAATATCCTTCTGCAACAATGATCATGTCATGACATTGACCTTTTGTCCTTGACCTTTGGCCTCCATATTTCAGGGCACACCAGAGAGGCTGATGACCCACCTGGTAGAGGAACACTCTGTGGTGGACCCCACCTATGTGGAGGACTTCTTGCTGACGTACAGGACCTTCATTGAGAGCCCCCTGGAGGTAGCCAACAGGCTGCTCATGTGGTTTGGAGACGCCGAGCTCAGGGATAGGGTAGGTCTTAGGGACATATATACAACATAAGACTTTATTTATTTATTTATTTATTTATTTATTTATTTATTTATTTATTTATCACTCACCTGCACAAATATGAAAACTGATTCATGATATGAAAGAAGAAAAAAATACATTGTGTAGGTCTGTCATTGATCTCACTAGTGCAGAAATGTTTAACTTAAGGTATTCAAGATACAATTGTTCTGCATCCTCATCTTGTTTGAATTATTAGAGCAAAATATGAACTGTTTTAACTAGTACAAGTTACTTAGTCAGCTTGTCTTGATATGCTGTCCTCTATAATGTCAGGTGACCAGAGTTGTGTTACTATGGGTCAACAACCACTTCAACGACTTTGAATCTAATCCTGCCATGAGTGAATTCTTAGAGAAATTTGAGATTATGTTAGAAAGAGAGGTAAGTAACTCTTCAAATAAAAAACCCTACTCCTATGCCTCCATTTCCTAGAAAAATCAATACATTATACTTTTAAAGTAAATTTATATCAAATATAGTGATTTAAGATTCAAAATCTTGTAGATGAAATGTTTTTAATCAAAAAATGTTTGATTTAAAAAAAATAATATTTTCTTGTTCAACAAGTCATGTTATCTATTTTAATTTTCAGCGAATGATAGGGCAGTTACGACTTCTGAACATTGCATGTTCAGCTAAAGCACGGGCACGCACAATAACCCTAACCAGGTCAACAAAAGATGAAATCTTACATTTTTCTGTCCTGGGAGGGCTTGAGAGGCATTGTGGGATATTTATTTCCAAGGTTGAGAAGGGAACGAAAGCACACGAGGCTGGACTGAGGCGTGGGGACCAGGTAAGCTGCATTAACTGTGCTGGTGTGACATTGTGTTGGCTGAGACAGTGTGTTAGATGTGACATTGTGCCAGTCTTCCATTTTAGATGCTGTTGTGCAGAAACTATTTAGAAATAAAATGGAGTAAAGAATTAATTTGATATCAAAGGTACTTTTATATTAACTTACATATTTTGTGTCTCATATTCTAGATCCTGGAGGTAAATGGACACAATTTTGAGTTCATCACGCATAATAGAGCGCTGGAGATCCTACGTGGAACCACGCATCTTTCCATATCTGTGAAATCAAATGTGATTGGTGAGTGCAGATATGTCTCCTTAATTATGATTGATGAAATGCATAGAAAATGTCAAAAAGTCATTTTTTTTCAAATCAAAGAGATTTTTATTATTGTGTAAATTTTTGTTGGGGATAGAGAATAATTACATTTGCAAATAAATACATATTTGAATAATAGATGCCCAGATTAATCAAACATTCAGCAATTGATTTTTTAAATGTCTGTAAAGGGGCAAAATTCTACAGCAATGTTGTTAATGCAGTACCTCATCATAAATAGAGACCAAATATAAGCATTTTTTTTTCAAACTTTCAGCCTTCAAAGAGATGTTATACAGCAGCTCCCCCGGGCGACCAGCCAAGAAACAACAAATTGCCCAGTTACAGCCAGACTTCACCCAGAAGCGGCAAGGTTCTGTACCTGAGCTGGACCTAGGGGTTCCCCCCGTGATCTCACCGGTCAAACCCAAGAAGGGAGACAAGAAAGAAAAACCCTACGGCACAGTGGGGAAAAATGCAAAGCTACGAAAGGCTTTGAACAAAATTAATTTATTGCCAAAGCAAAACAGGTAAGTTATCATGAGAACAGTAATTTTTCCGTGTCATTTATCCATTTTGTTTTTCTTTGTTTTCTGTGATGCTTATGCACTATATGAAAGAATTTAAACAAAATAAGTAATAATTTTAATAAAAGGACAGCAACATAATAAAAGAAATGTCACATTAACACTATTATCTTATCCTTTAATCAGACAATTAAACATTTGTGCTAGTCAACCAGAAGATGTGAAAGACCTTTTTACACATATCACACAAAATGTTTTACAGGTTCTTTCAAATCTTCCACTTTGTTTCAGTGATAGCAAACTTCAGCACAACCACTCTGACAATGATCTGACCTGTCCTCAGCGCAGTCGCCAGTCTTCCACTTCATCAGCGTCGTCCAACACGTCTGCGCAACAACAGCAAATGAGCAACAGCAGCCCTGATATCTCCGCCACCATACTGGGGAGTTTTGCTGTCATGGATGACACGCGCAATGACTTTCCAGAACACGTGCTGAAAGTGTATCGGTCTGATCAGAGTTGTAAATATTTCCTTGTACATAGAGTAAGTGTTCCTTTTTGACAGAATTTGAGTATTTAGAATATTGACTTTTTAGTAGTACTTTTAATGTAACTTTTAAAAATTTTTTACTTGAAAAACACTTCTAAATCACTTACACTCAGAATTAAAAGAAATGTTTTAATATGGGTAGGTATTTAATTAAGACATTTTAATCAGCTTCCTGTGAACTTGATTTCAAGCATAGCATCTTTAGTTACAAATAAATAATTAATTCATGCAATAAACATATTTCCTGTATAGACAATAATGAAGTATTTTAGCCGGAGTAAACTTTATTGTAACAGCAAACAAGTCTATTTCTTGTTTAAGAATTCCTAATCTATTTCTAATGTGATGTTCCAGGAAACTACTGCCAGAGAGGTGGTGATGTTAGCTCTCAGAGAATTTGGAATTACTGACCCTAGCAGGTAAATACACAGTGTGATTTGTTCTCATCAGCTTGTATTTTAGATTAGAGCAAGAATAGAAAATGCACATGTAATAGTTACATTAGACACAAACTCTGAATACAATATTTTTATTCTAAGAACAAGTGCAACTAAAGCTTAATATTTGTTATTATATTGTGTGAAACTTTTTATATATAAAAAAAAAAATGTGCAGAGAAAACTTCTTTATCATACACCAAAAACCCAGTGAACCTACTACCAGTACCTTTTGCTCCTGTCCTGCTTGTGTGCTGCCACCTATATTGTGTTTTTAATTCAGTTCCACCTTGCTCTACTGTAGTAACTACTCGCTGTGTGAGGTCACTGTGGAGAATGAAGGGTTTATCAAACAGAAGAGACTACCAGAGCAGCTCACCAATCTTCCAGAAAGGATCAATTTAAATGGAAGGTAAGTTATGACCTTTGAAATGTATTTGAAAAATTACTGTGCTGATACACTTATTGTCACTCAGGGGTATATCTGTTTAAGTTCAGATTCAATATCATTAAAGATTGGAAAAAAGAAAACATGTCAATGCTGTTCAGCAATTTCAGTTCAATTAACATGTAAGATTTTAGAGATTCTTAACTTCCCTGTGGAAATTTACCTTAAGAAAAAATAACTATTATGAAACTCCTACCTGCAGGTACTACTTAAAGAACAACATGAGCACAGAGACATTAGTTCCAGACGAGCTGGCCAGTGAGCTGATGAAAGAGGGCCAGATAAGCTTCCTCCAGTTGAAGAGTATAGAGATCGCCACCCAGCTCACCCTGGAAGACTTCCATATATTTGCTAACATCGAAGCCACGGAGTATATAGATGATCTTTTTGATCTTCCATCTAAATATGGCACGCCTAATATATTGCAGTTTCAGGAGGTGAGATATATTCGTTCCCTGTTGGTTTGTTTTAACTTGACTCATTGTGTGATCTTTATTGGTTTTTTAGATATCTGTCTATAAAAATGTATCATATTCTGTCTGGATCACTTAACTAAGTGTTTTAATTAAAAAACTTATAGCTGACATCTGTAGGATGACGGAAAAGGATGTTTGGCAAGTTAATTGATAAATAGAACAAACGAGATGAAGAAAAAAATTCACAGTGGTTTAGGAAGATAAAAGATAATAACAGACATTGGACTGTAATAATTATCTATGTTAAAGACAGTTTTCACCACACAAAGTAAATAATTCCTTCTATTCTGTTTCAGCTGGTGAACAGGGAAATGTTCTGGGTGACCACAGAAGTCGTCCGGGAAACCAACATCATTAAGAGGATGAAAATAATCAAACATTTTATCAAAATAGCAAGTGAGTAAGAAGAGCACGGAGAGGGTGATTGACCTTAGCACATTATTGTTGGAGCAGTCTCAGGCTACATCATCACCAATGTACTGACCTAGCTGCTATTTCTTGTTATTGTCTGATATGCTTTACAGTGTTAAGAAGCTTGATTGTCATCAGAGATGAAAAATATTTTATTAATGGCTAAAGTGCTATTTAGTTTTGCCTATCCAACTTCATCTCAATATTGTATTTTTAATTCAAAAATTATATCTTTATTTCACAGGGCATTGTAAAGAATGTAAAAACTTTAACTCAATGTTTGCCATACTAAGTGGACTGGGTCATGGGTCAGTGCAGAGACTACGGACAACATGGGACAAACTGCCCAATAAATATGTCAAAATATACGAGGTCAGTGACAGATATCTGCTATTTGCTGTTTACAATGTATAATAGATTAAATTTTAATTTTTAAGTTGGTTTTCTTAAAAATCAGTCCAAAAAATGAAATAATAGGTGATAGATAAAAAATTTCAAATGTCTTACTAGGTATCCTAGAAAATCAGTACAATATGTAAATTTAAATGAATAGAAAGTTTGCTTCAAAAAAGTTCTAGAAACCTTAAAGATCATACAAAGTCAATATTTTGTCACAAAAACCAACCAAATGCCAGTATATAGTTTCAAGTAGTATAACTAAGAGAATTACCAAAAGGCATTGTTTAATTTTACCCAAAAATGATGTTTGAACAGATTTTTCTGCTGGCATTCTAAGCTGTATGTCAATGGGGCAGGAAAGTAGGTCACGGAAGTAGGTTAAATTTACAACCATAAATTTAAAGAAAGGAGCAGTCTAAAGGTCTTTTATGGCTGATCGAGTGATTTATTTAGTTTATCCCTTGGCATGTCGAATTTATTTGAGTCATATAAGAATCTAGTAGAAGTGGTTTACATGTGTTACTGGGAATCCACTATCCACCGATGCTCAGTTAGTATGTACCTTTAAATAGTTTCCATACGTCCATGTCCAATTCTCATGCCTCCATTGTTTTCTTTGTTTAGGACCTACAAACAATAATGGATCCCTCAAGAAACATGGCCAAGTACAGGAATCTCATCAACTCTGAGCTGGTGCAGCCTCCTTTGGTAAGTAACTGGTTTTCTACAACTGTTTTTTGCTTCCCGTGTGGTCAGCCCTGGCATATCTAACATGTTGCCTGCCTCAGAGATGAGAATCATTTGTAGGATTTCATCTTTGTTTTTGTGTGTGTTAAAAAGGACATAAGAAGTTCCTGGCCATTGTATGAAATGTTCAGTACAGGAGGTTTAAGGAAAGAAAAAGGTCTCGTCTTTCTTTTTTTGAGCTCGCTCTGTCTCCATTGCTGCACTCCCTGCAGATTGCCTAACATATAACTGAGGTGTGACATGAAGCTACTATGTAAGTCTATATTTTTGAATCAGTTTTACAACATATTTTGTATCTCCTCCAGATCCCATTATTCCCCATTGTAAAGAAGGACCTGACCTTCATTCACCTGGGCAATGACTCCAAGGTGGACGGCCTGGTGAACTTTGAGAAACTAAGAATGATCGCAAAGGAAGTGAGGCACTTGTGTCTTATGGCATCTGCACCATATGTAAGTGTTTTCCTTTTTTTTTTTCAACGTGGAATTTAAAATTGCCAATTTTATTCTCTTTGCGGTGGTAGATGCTCTAGGTTTTAAGTATCCAGTGGAAATTGTGCTTGGGTATACAAATCTTACAAATGAAAAGCTCATTTAATAAAAACATTACGCTGAAGTAGCTTATAAATATGTTCAGCTTTAGCTTTATGAACTGTTTCAGCAGTATTCCAGGAGATGCTGATATCTTTTCTGTATGTGGTACATTTAAAAATGTAACACTTTTCTAAGAACCACTTTAATAGGGTTTCCAGGATTCCGATTCACTTTTCTAAGAACTATTCTAATTGGTTGTTTTCCAGGACCCCAATGCCATGTTTTTACCAGGAAGCAGTTCCGCCAGCATTTTCGCCAACAATGCTTCGGGAACAAATACCATCAAGAAGAAAACCAGGCGAAACTCAACACTTCCAAACCCTAAGAAGATGTATGAAGAGGTACAGAAATAATATTTAAAAGCTAATTTTTGTAATGGTTTTTAATTGCTAACATGATAGAATTTATTAGATTATGAAGAATTTCTGTTGTGTGACCTCTTTTGTCAATTGTTATGGGAAAATTGAAACTGTGAATGTCAGCAGAAAAAAAAATTACAGTTGCTTAAATCATATAATGATGAGAAATTGTGCTCAATATTTTAAAAACTTTTTTTGTAAATTATGAAATTCTACCTATAAATTATGTTAATATTTTCCCCATTAGTACCAAATGGTACGCAGAGTGAAAAACTACCTCCACAGCATGAAGATTGTTGCAGATGAAGATGAATTAGATGGGCTATCACTACAATGTGAGCCACAACGTGAGTATTAATTCATTTAATTGGAATTTGAACATAGCGGTCAACTATATTGTAGTTTGAAGGTCAAATTTTCTAGCACACACAAAAAAAAAGTTATTGGGGATGCTTTTTGATGGTAAGTCATACAAAGCTTAGTCAATATTGAAATGTGATCTTTATTTGCAAGCCCTTGCATTTGTTGCTTATAGATTCAAGTTAAGAAATCTGCTCACATTTTATTTTCCTCCCCTGCAGTGCCTCGTAAGAGGGACCAGTCCCCGCCTCCCCCCGCCCCCGTCAACAACGCCCAGTTACTTAACGCTAACCTGGGACCCAAGTTTGGTAAGTTTATTTGTCACTATTTCAATTTGTCATTAATGGTTTTATAATTAATATGCAGCATGTTCAGGTGTCATTTTGTCATTGTGTTTCTTTTTATATTTCTATTTATGAATGACATTTAACCCCAATTAATTTTTTTAGCATCCATAGATGAGCTGTTATTATGATTCATATATGTTTTTTAATTAGAAATATGCTAAACTGTATATTTCTTAAATGTATTCAGTAAACTTTTATAATGGGTGGATGTATTGTAGTTTTGGTTACAGTTAATAACATAGTAGCTGAGTGAGAGGTTCACTTTGATGTCATTGTTGTTGTATAGGTGCTAAATCCCCAGACGCTGTCCGCAAACTGCTTTCTCTCTCAGAAGACAAAGTGCGCCCACATAACCCGAAACATCCAACGTTAAAATTAAATAGTCCCGGTAACCAGAGGCGTTTGCCCCTCTCCCCACAACCTGGCAGACTTAAACACACACATCTGTCTCCAGAGAGCTCTTCAGTGGTCAGCCTTAGTAGTATAGCAATGAGAAAATCACATACCTCAGGTAAGGGTAATACACTAGAGGTGGCAGCACTGGTCAGTGGCTCTTTGCTGGTGCAGACATTTGCTGGCTACTGTACACAAGATGGCAGCACTGCAGAATGTTACTGATCACCTGCTGCCACCTATTGTTTTGTATTAGTCTTTCCAAATGAAATAAAAGATGGATTTTTCAGTGGATTAGGTGTCTTGTTGGACTGTTAGTAACTGGTTATTGTCTTGCTGATTCTTTTGCATGCCTTGGGTGTTGCTAGGTTTGAATAATACCGAAAACTTATTCTCTGATAAAAGAAATTATTGGTTCTAAATGAATCAGTTATTGTACTTACAAAATTGACATTGATGGGTTGATTTTCTTAAACATTAGCATTGGACATTCTAATTGGCTGGGTGTAAAGAACTTTTTGATAACTCAAACTCAATCAGTGATCACTTGCATACAGCAGTAATAAATTCAGGACCAGTATGACTACAATCATTTCTGTTTTCCAGGTTCTATTGGATCAGCAGATTCTTCCAGCCCTCCAACCAATCACCATCATTTATATGAGACAGACTCTGGACACAACAGCATAGCGTCTTCCAACTTTGACAGCCACAGTACCAGTTCTGTAGGCTCTGCACATTCCCCGCCTTCACAGAGGCATCTGTCCAATCAGCACAGTAAGTTGACATATTCCCCGCCTTCAAAGAGGCATCTTTCCAATCAGCACAGTAAGTTGACACATTTCCCGCCTTTACAGAGGCATCTGTCCAGTCAAGCACATAAGGTACTTCAGACATTTAAAATTGACACACTTATGATTTTGAGTTGATATTGTGTAACTTTTAATGTTTTTGGTATTTTAGAAGATGTGCCGTCTTTGTTTCTTGTTTTAAATGTGACTTGTTCTTTGCAGTGGCACCTCACCTG